AACCCGACACGCATACCCATCAACAGTTGGACTGTCCCAAATTCCATGCTATTCGACAACGTCATCCACAGGCAGTGTCATACCTAACTCGTAATCCACAGAAACTATGGCTCCCACTGCCACATACTTTCCCGGACATTACCATCCTGCGACAGCTCCTTGCGCATCGTGGCGCAGATACAGGCCATACACCCATTCGCTTCCATGATGACACACTCTATTTCTACACAGATGGGTCCGCCGATACACCAACTCACCCTGAGACTCGCCGGGCGGCTTGGTCACTCATCCAGTTCTGCCCAGATCTATCCTCTACACCATATATCACAATCAAAATCCAACATGTGCAAGGACAACAGACTATAGCCCGAGCCGAACTTGCTGCCATTACATGGATTATACAGCACGTGCGACAACAATCTTGGCCACACAAGATCACCATTACCACAGATTCCCAATATGCCATAAACGCCGTTAGCCAAGTCTCTCAGCCTAATCCTTCACTACAGTGGCATCGACTCGCAAATGCCGATCTTTTGCAAACCCTTGTCACTTGTTGGGATCCTGAACGTTTTTCATTACGTAAAGTTCGATCCCATCAGGACCCACAAACCCTACCTCCGGGTCCCGCCCGTGATGATGTCATTGGCAACTCGTGGGCTGATCATGCCGCAGTCCGAGCGCGTCATACTGATCATGTTCAAATTGACACACTATTTCAACGAGCAGACCTCTGGCATCAGGACCAATTACGCCAGACACAGTGCATTCTCGCCTATCTTGCTGATCTTATCCTGTGTCATGCTCAGGAGAAACAACAATCAAAGCTTCAGACGTATACTGATCTATCTCATGATGCATCATTAGATTGGGGTGCCCTCTATAGGTCCAGAGCAGTTTACACCATCCATGATGCAGTCCACTTTTTCCGTCCCCATATACACCCTGCTTTCGTTACTGCTTGTGTTTGGGGTAACCAATATGCAGATTTAGTCCTTCAGTTTTGCGCCGCACTCCGATGGCCAGATCCAGATTTAGACCACTCTGATCCAATTGTGACTTCTGGAATTACATGGCTTGAATTGACCATAGCATTCGTAATTAATACAGGCCTCCAATTTCCCACTTGGCTCTGTCTTGACGACCACAAACGTTCACAACCATTACACTGGCAAGACCCACGGGTCCTAGCCTTACCAACTATCAAACGATCGCTACGAGAACAAGCTGAGGCGTTTCGCACCATCGTTCTATACCTTCAGGGTTACTCAGATACCCCCCTGCTGCCAAGATTTACCAAGACTGGTTCTATCAGCCTTACGCAAATTGGATGGGGAAGATCCTTTACAGGGGGCATGCCTTTGCGACCAGAGATCCCTAATTCCGACCTTGTTCAGCGAACGATTTCGCGATATGTTGAAGACCTTCAATGCAAACCACCTTTTCATCCAGATGGCTTGATTCCCATGCGACATGCCTCACCGATTTTTGCAGTTCCGCCGGCTACAGAGCTTACATTTCATCAACGTTTTCTGTACCGACGTAAACTTCGCGAAGCATGGCATCGAGGAGGGGATCTGGACGGAGTCTCAGTGCCACCAGCACCTAATTAGTTATGTGCAACCACTTTGCAGAATTCCTAATTTGCTAGTCTGTCATCCTAGCACTTTGTATAGCCACCTTTTCACAATGTCTTACCACAAGATATTTACCGAACTCCTCGACACCCTCCAACACGGAGAAGGGTCGTAGGAAGCGTGCAGACCGCGACCGCAAGTTTCGTGAGTAGTAAGCCCAGGAGCCCCTAGTAGCTTCTTGCTCCTAGTAGTAACCGCTAGTAGCTTCTTGCTCCTAGTAGTAAGGCCGGGAGCCCCTAGTATCT